ATTCTTTATCTACTATTTTCAGCTTTAGACAGCATATTAACTGACATCAATTCGTAATGAAATCCCATTTGAGTTTATTCGAAATTCAGATTATAAGTAGATTTGTGAAGATTTTGTATTGATTTCAATTTTTAGATTTTCGCTGCAAGCCAATATCAGTTAGACAAATCACTGAAAACCAGGGAGCTCCTGATAGCTGATTTGTCAAATTTTGGCTCGCTTTAGCAGTGTGTACCCACATACTGAGACCTTCAGGTTACCGCACCAAGCTTGTTGAGCATTCAGCCAATTGGGTCGGAATTTAATGAACCCCTGAATTCTACTTTTGTCAGCTTGTGATGTAGCGCTGCCTTAATCAGTGCTTTCGATGAGAATCCACTTCACCTTGAAATTGTGGATCCCACTTGTTACGACTTCTCATTGTTGCTTCAGGAAATCCATCCAGTAGCCATCAGCGAACTGATGACTGTTCACGGGTTATTGAATTTCAGAGTGGCTGAAAATAGTCAACGAGCTTGATGTAGTGACGCTAAGGTAGTGGACTCGTGAGTGCACGCTGCTGAAGAGTTCCAAAATAGGATGAAACAGCTGTTCAGTGCTCTCTGGTTTGCAGTGTTCTTTCTAACTGACACTGGTTCGTGACGAAGATCTAATAACTGAGATTTATTCGAAATCATCGCAATTCAACATTTGCAAAATTAATTTTGTTATAGGTTGCGGGCAATTTTTTTAGATAAGTTCCTGCATATATACAATATACGGATAAAACACCGTTTCATTTCTTGTAATTTTCAATTGTCGAATGTCTTTGAATAGTTTCAGATAAGCAAGGGTGCAATAATAATAATAATTTCAAGACTGATCACGAATTGACTTTAGTTAGAGAATCAATGAACATCAGGAAGTACTGGACATCTGCGGAACCCCTGTTTGGGGCTCTTCAGTGGCACACAACCATGATCCCACCTCCCGGAACTGAATCGAACACCTTTACGGCACAAGATGAGCTCGTATAAAATTCAGCCACTAAGACCAGACCTAACGGCCCATCAATTCTAATTACTTACGACTCGCGATAATAATAATAATAATCTTCCTCTCTGTTATACTGCTGTTGTATGTAGTAAGCCAAAAATTATTGGCCTTCCCATTTTCATTCCACTGCCCTTTCCTTTAGAAAGGAGTGGTCTTATCAAATATACATTTATCATATATTGAATCTCTCATAAACAGAATATTATAATTTATAACAGTAATAATAATAATAAAAGACGGAGTATTATTTATGATAACTGTCTCAAGTATATCTGTGTGATTTCGCTTTATCTACAACTATTATTTTGTAATTAAACACTTCATATTGGTAATTTTTTAACCAGATGTTTCCGTATATATATATCATATTTATTTATTTATTTACAGTCGCTATCCCCTCTGTTACTGTCTCACTTCCACGCACACACTCACACATACACACACTACGGAGTAATAAACACAACTGAAACATGCCTACCTTAGGTGAAAAATTGTGTTGAATAGTGTAATAATTATTCTCCCCCTATGCATATACTTCTAAACTTATACGATGTATTTATAATCATACATAAACTGGATATTAAGGAGAACAAAGCAATACTTCTTATAGAAAGACACTTCGTTTTTCCTAATTCAAGGCGACTAATAGACTTTATAGAAAAGTTGAATTGAATTTTTGATTTTCCCGTCGATTGATTGGACCGAAGTGCTCGGTCTCAGGTTGACATGTCGGCTTCTTGTGCAGATGCTTCGACGATGTCTGGGCATTTAATTAGTATACAATTGGTGGATGGTGGCTAGCAGCGGAATCCAGGAAGCGCATTTCGTCCTATTTATAGAAAAGTTCTTATTTTTAATACCCCTCACACTGGGTTCTGAGTGAACCATATGTCTTGAGCAGAACATCTGCATTCTACTGTGTTCCGTGCAGCTTTTTTTTAGTCCATGGGTTTTCATTTCCTCCTACACACACGATCGCATCCAGGCCATCGTCAGACCCATTACCAATAAACTCGTTTTTTACTATTCCTGTTTCACTCGAGGGGTTTGCCTAGCTCGCGATGTCTTTCAACACTCTCCTCTGTTCAGTGTCTGTCTGATTCACATCTACACTTTTCCTTTTCTACATTTATTGGGAGAGAGTTTCTTGTTGCTTATCCTTTCTGACTGGCCATCTGATCTTCAGTGTCGAGACAGAGAAGGTAGTTGTTGATGAAGATTTCCAACAGACTGTTTGAAAGGGTGTTCGTGATGCGTATGCACAACCTCTGAGCCATACGGAAGAAGCCAGTTAACATTAGTGTTAAACAGAATTCTGATCTTGTTCCTTATGCTAAATGCACCAAATTTCCACACTGATTTCAGATGAATGGAAATCTGTCTTATTCTTCCGATTCTGCTTTTGACATCGTCGTGTGTACCGCCTGTAATTGAAAAGATGCTGACTAGCCAGATAAGTGGAACAGGTGACTTCCTTCAGATTACTCCCGTTGATGCTTATTGTTGTAGTTGTTGTTGTCGGTTAGGTATCTTCATCACCTGTGTCTTCTCTGTGTTCACTTGATATCCCGTCTTCTCTGCTTATCTTTTCTGACAACTTCTTGGTTTTCGCCTGTAGGTCTTCAGATTTGTGTGACAGTAGATATAGACTGTCCGCGAAATCCAGATACTTCAATGTCTTTTCATTGGTGCAACCTGGGCCTATCTTCTTGCTCCCTACGGTCTTTTGCATGATCCAATCCACTATAACCATGAAGCTATCAGGTGATAGTAGGCCGACTTGTCTTACTCCCATCTTTTCCTCTGTAAATCACTTGACATGTGACATCATTATATGACTGCTGAATGAGGTTGCCAAATATTTTGGGCTCTCTGCAGTGTTGAAGCAGTTTCCAAATTACTTCATTGTCAAAGTTGTTGAAAGTCGATGATACCAGTCAAGTTATCCAGCAATGTTTGACAACCAAATCAAAGTGATCTAAATACAAGACAACCGTCTAGCTCGTTTGCAGCCAAGCTCATCAGTATTGTTATTTTTTTCCCTTCACGTTCCCCAGTGGAACATAGGGCTTCAGGCTAGTTGCTTGAAGTTTCTGTAGCAGTGTTTAATTTTACAGGATGAGATTGCTAGCCTCATGCCCCCAACCTTTCCTCTTTACCAGGATTATTTCTGGCTTAGCGAGGTAAAGGAGTGTGTCTGTGGCCGGGAATCGAACCTCGGACCATGTGTATGGTCAGCAAGCGTCCTAACCGCTATGCCACCGACGCATCAGTATTTTACCCGGTCGCAATTCAGCTCAGAAAGCTGAATGAGTTCAAAGAACCCGAATTCTGGCTGTCTAGCCATCCGGGCGAACTGGTTGTACACCGAATCGGAATCGCAATTTAGAAACTAATTCCAGATTTACAATTTATACAATTCCATGTGAAATTTTCTCGTAGTTTTCCTTAGAAAAACGAAATTGTCTAGATCAAAATGTATGTAATCTGTTTGATACCATAGACATATCAACCAAGAAATCAAGCGTAGCTGTGTGCTGCATCATTCAGTTTCCACAGAAGGCTGAGGTAAAATTAAATACCAAATTGTGTATTTTACAAATCACGAATTCGACTATATGCATTGCCTCTTTACTCAAGCAACTAGCTTACCAGCTAGCCAAAATTCAGGTGCATTTAACTGATTCACTTCTCTGAGTTGGGTCAGAGTGAGTACACCTCTGATAATCTCGGCCCGGAACACATGGAACGGCCATGCCACGTTTACATAATTTTCATTTGGCTAGCAAGTATTACTGGTTGACACGTGAGTTATTTCTAGTAGTTCACATCAATCAGTAGTATATACTATCAAGGCCTATGAAACAGAGCTGATCGGTGTGATCCAAGTGTCAGCTATCTATTGTTTCATTTCACTTTGGGACAATTCAGCAAGGTTTCCTTTTAATCTTAAGAGATATCGCGCTTAGAACTGTTAAATTTCAAGTCAGCCAGTTTAAAATCTTATCAGTTGTTCTGTATCAGTATGTAAAAGTAGATATAAGAGTTATTGGCCTCTCGTTTTACGACATCTTAGGAACAAATGTCCCCTCTCCGCTCCGTTATAACATCAATGATCACTGCCTACTGAAGACTGTGATTAAACTCCTTTTATTAATGTTACTTATCGGGTTTTTTATTCCTTTATGTTCCCAGCGGAACATAAGGTAGAGCTTTGAAGTTTCGGTAGCAGGGGTTGCTAGCCTCATGCTCAATCTTCCCTATTTACCAGTCTGAGTACTGGCTTAGCGAGGTAAAGGAGTGCGTCGGCTGGGGATCGAACCCCGGACCGCATGTGTGATCGATGAGTATTCTACCTCGCACTTATTTGTCCGTTAATGACAAATATCTTGTGTTTATAACTAACCAAATTACTTACCTGAATCTTTACCCAACCTAACGCTTAAAACAGCGTCCTCAATTTATTGACTTATTTAAGGTTCCGTTCAAGGAGCTTCAAGTTACAAAGTGAACCATTCGATTATTCAACCAATAAGTCACTCAAAATTCAATCATCCCTGAATTCTGACTTCTGTTAATTCACAACAACCCCAAAGTCTGAATGTGGTTCTCCACCTCATTAGTGACTACTGGGTTGATGATGTTAGTATTCGTTAGACGTAACGCTAAATAGTGATTCGAGAAAAGTTAAAATTCACAAGTGACTGAATATGGACGCAGTGGTCCAGTGGTTAATAGGCTAGCCTTATTACCTGAGGGTTCTGAGTTCAAGTCTTGGTAAGCTGTTTGATGAGCATTACTGAAAAGTCTCTAAGTAGAATAAAACAGCTATCAAGTACTCCTGGTTATTTCTCAAAGATTATCTAACTAATGTCAGCTTTTTCGTGACGAGGTTTTTGACTGTTTACTTCGTCAATGAAACTTGTGCTTTTGTTTGTCAAATACAATATAAAAAACAACGAACGGTTCCTCGATTTCAAATGGTCTTATTATTCCATTTTTTAACAAACTTTTTATATCAAAAAATGTTAAATTGTTGAAGTAGGCGACTGAGTAAGGAGTGTGTGAGAGAGACACAGTGGAATAGAAAAATGGACAGACGGAGGCATAGGAGGGGGTAAGGAAGTATGTATGTGTATAATGCATCAATTCATAAATGTACAATGTTCCAAATAAACTAATTGATTCAACGTGTCAATCAGCCAGTATTCAGTGTCGAAAGAAAGTTAATATGAGTAGAATGAATGGAGCATAGAATACACTTTTATTGCATCATTAAAAGGAAGGCTGAAAGCAAGATCTATATATAAATAAGTTTTTCCTTAATTTTAATACAGTTTACTTATTCTTGTCATATTTTATTGTTGTTATTATCATTAACATTCCAAAACAAAAGGAAGAATACATGTTACTCAGTCATCAATTCACCTGTCCACACACACACATACACACAAACACAAACATACATTGTTAGATCACAGAGAATGAACAGTAGTCAGTCATGTAAGCAGATAGGGAGGCAGACAGTATTTGATCACACTGAACAGTAATCACATTTTTAGACAATAAACAACGAAGCAACAACTTTAGACTCCCAGATGTAGACGCACACACACACACACACACGGAGAATGCTATTTGATATCCTAACTCTCTTCAGTAGCTGCTGTTGTTGTTGTCGTCACTGTTGCTGTATGTGGTTTTCCGCTGCCGATTAATGATTGAATTGAAAAATTCGGTAAACAATTCACCATGCCATTGGCAGTATTATTGCTATTGTGTGTAGAGAAGTTCGAACGATTCGTTGTCTCAGTTGAACTGGATGTATTCAATCGGTTCTCTTCCTCCTCCGACGAACTATTATTATTATTCGTTCCATTTGGATACATTTTACGATTTGAAGATATTTGATACTGCATGCATTTACTACTTATATTGTCAATATTAGTAGTCCATGCTGATGGATTATACATTGTATTGAAAGAATTTGTGAATAGATTTAATGAATCTGAACATTGATTATAGGAGAAATTATAATTAATATTCTTTGAGATGTTTTCATCATACTGCACAAGTGTTTGTTGCAACGTAGTTGTGTCAACTGGCATCCTTGATATAGAAGATGCTGTTGAACAGGAAGAGGATGCTGAAGATGGTGAGGCGGAAGAATGGGAAGAGGACGACGAGGACAAAGACGATGAAGCAGATGAGTGTAAATCACCTTCTGTTGGAATAATTAATTCTTTAGGTAAATTAATAAATTCTGATATTCTTGACGAAATAGCAGATAAAGATGATCTTCCCCTAGGAGGAGATACTATTGATCCTGTTGGTGTTGGTGCTGGTGCTTCCACTGCTGTGCATGTTGACGAAGGCAAAGTTTGTGGTGATATAGACAGTGAAGTTGGTGAAAATATTGACGATTTAGTACGTCTTTTTCGACGTCTGTTGAATTATTATTTACAAAAGAATAGAAAAAAGAGAAATGGTTATTATTGTTGTTAAAATTATTTAAAAAACATTAGAAAAAGTGTCACAACTGAAGAGACTTATCCTTCCAAAACCCTGCTCATCGTTATATACATTTATATGCTTCTATACATTATTACGTTGTTACCTTTGGTTAAGTGTTTATTCAAGAGGATTCAGCGTATTTGTACACAGATATTGCCGTAGACGGTGACACCGAAATACTGACAGATGCACTTCTCAAAAATGAATATCCTTCAAAGGTTTTGAGTCAATGGAGACGTCAGTTAGTTTCAGAAAAGGCCTACAGTCTATTTCCTCACAAGAAATGGTGTCTACATCAAATTACCTCACAATGGTGAGGCAAAGAGTAGGATATTAAGGCATAAACTAAATGCAGTCATTCATTAAATAATTACTACGCTGCCAGACTTGTAATTATGAGGACACCCAAAATCATACTCTGCAACAACAACTGATTATGTCATATCCCATACCATATACTAACTTATGTGTATATGTGCGTATGTGTATATGGTCAAACATACATTAGAAGGAGTAATTCCGCTTTGCACTTGAGGGTGGGAGAACACATAAACCCAAATAGTTAGAAGAAAAATGAACTGTGAAACCTCAATAAACGAAGGTGGCAGACTATATCCATAGAAAAATCTTAAATTCATTAACATCTTCAGGGTCGTATACAGAAGTAAGCAGAGGCGATGGCTGTCCGTAAACTTGAGCCCTCTTTGTGTGTTACAATTACAACATTTATGGAAAATTTAAATGAGTTCATCTTATACTAAAACCTGTGTTGAAGATGTTGTCTAGAAAGATGATGAAAGCTTCTCAATTGAATCAACCAGCTCACAGAACACAACTAATTTAATACCACTTTGTGTGTACAAAAGTAATTTATCAACACTTTTAAACTACCCTAATAATCCTTATGTGATTATATTATTAAATGTGGTGTTAATTATTTTTATACTTCTTACTCTTAAATCTCTTATCCCTGTGGGTTTTTTAACTGACCCTTCATTTGTCATTCAAATTGTCTTAACAAGTAATTATGCGATCAGATTGTTTGAAATGTTCAAGTATTGGTTTGTAGGGATTTGGTTGATTGGTTACAGGATTTCATCATGAGCTGACATTGGTTAGAGTACCATTGAAAAACCTGCAGGAAGTACTGGACGGCTGTTTCGTCCCAGTTTGGGACTCTTCAGCAGTACGCTGTGCTGAAGAGTGTTTCTCAAATACATCACATCACGATTTTCAGATAATCTCCGCCTTCTAATAACATTATCGAAACTATTAAGTTTGCTGGTGAAAATTGCTTTATTATCCATGCTAGTATTAGTTACTTTAGACGACATCATCAATAACTGGAACTCTGTAAGGGACTGTATACGCACTGGATAATTGTGGACACAAATGGTTGATTTTAGTCAGTATTGACTGAAGGCATACGGTTAAATTACTTGATTATAAATGAAATTCTATTCTAGTGTAACAACAGAAGACAAGGATTAGATGGTATTAGATGGTTGGAGGCCAGATTACAACCTGACTGATATAATTCAGTGTGCACCAATGAGAGGACTAGATGCATCACACTAGTTACAAGTGTCAGAAGAGAAGGATGTTTGGTAACTGGCAGCTGGATACGCAGATATAAGCGAAATGCGTCTACCATGTGTTAAAATCGCAGTTTGCACATATCTTCGGCATTCAGCTGCTCTGTCTTCCGCATTGTGCTTCTTTGTCTCCCCTCATGTTTCCTATATTATTTGGCAAGCGTCGTTCATTCAATGCATCTTCCCAGTACTCACTATTCTTGCAGTTGATATACATATTCATAACTGCATTTACATACTACTTATAAATCTCGCCAGTAGCACACCTTACACTAGTTTCCAAGGAAAGCAGAAGTATTCAGTCTTATTCCGTATTGCGTCCTCTCCGATTTACCGTTTTGGAATATTTTCAGTTATTCCTTTAACTAACTACTGTAAATAGTATTAGGGGATTTCTGTAGGCTGCGGTGGTAAAAATGGGGAATCTGTTAGTTGAAAGGTTACTTTGGACTAAAAGTATTTCGATATCTGTAGTTGGCTGAAAGTGGCATAATTTATTTGTCTTAAATTTTAATTCGGTGTTACCCATTGATTAATTATATTCAACCAAAATGTTCCTGGTACTGACACCTACTCGACCAATAGCTGCCACCTTGAAGTGGTGGCCGGGGTTCCATATCACAGTGAACCCGTGGGGCTATCCTAACTGAAATGAATATTCCTGATGGTCCTGCCATGACAGAAATATGGTTAGACTAGCGCCTGCATAAAGACCAGTCACTATTAAACCGCAAATTGACCACACAATATTGGGAATCCGAGGGTGAACAGAGAAGTAATAGCAGTAACGTGCTTCCCCAGGACGACCGTCACGCCAACTATGCTGCCCCTTCACATTCAGAATTTGTAAAATTATTTGGCAATTGGCATTGTACACAGTTCGAGGCGTGAAATTTTCAACATAGTTTTGGTTGGCAAGCAAATTATTCAGATCATAGCTTGATACCATAAATGGTAATGAAGAAAGCAAACGTATCTGAATAATACTGATTGACAGATGAATAGTTGTAAACTAACCAGAAATTGGGTGGTTTGAACCGATTCGGCTGTCTTAGCTAAGTCAAACCGGACACACTGCCGACGGGCTCGACCTGAAACGAGCCAAACGGCCGTCCGGTGTTTAGATCACCCCGATCTGGCTGACATTCACTCACAGCAGGTTGATATGAGATGTATGCAACTGCTTCTCTCGGTCAATCAGTAGTACGTGGTTTCACGCTAATATTCTGTCTCTTCTCTATGAGGTGAAAGTAATACTTGAAAATAGTGCAGCCTAACTTACCTTTCGACGGTTCGTTACGGGCGTCAAAATCCTAATACGGACACAGCTCTAAAGGCCGCTTTAAACAAGCTGATTGATCTGCATCAAGCAGTTTTCCCGCGTACTGTGTGGTCACGGTATACCAGTGGTGTTTCTGTTCCAGGTATTCCAAGAGGAAATTAACTTATTCAGTGCTTGAAAAAGGGAAGTATTAAGTATCTAAACACTACTGTCAGTATAGACGCTGTGGAAATTCCTTGGGTTCAACGTGATGTTAGTTTACTGGTCTCAAACAAAGTAACACCACTTTAACCTTAAGGCGTACACAAAGCGTCCATACTAGAAGCCGAGGTCCAACCCTTTTTTATTTTTGATTACAGCTCGATTCCACACTGTATTTTTGATACAAGTATGGAATTTTCAGCATGGATATCGGTAGCCCAAATTTTGCAGGCCGACCATAGATATCAGGTGTGCGTCGGCAGGGGATAGAACCTCGGACCATGTGCATGGTCAGCGAGAGTCCTAACCATTGTGCCACCGACGCAATAGAATCAATTAACGAGGAGTTGGAGACAAAAATTTCACCTAATAATAATAATGTTAATTGACACGGATCGCTATTCATTCACAGGTATGAATGTGCATACCAGATGCAGAGAAAATAATTGATTCTTACCTATAATTTCCATGTTCAAACATTTCATCTGCGCTTGTTGATAATGTCCAATAATTCCCTTTCCCTGGCCTACTTTTATCCCGTGGTAATTTAACAAAACAATCATTCAGGCTTAAATTATGCCTGATTGAATTTTGCCAACCTTGACGATTATCACGATAATATGGGAAGTGTTCCATGATAAACCGATAAATACCTTTAATAAGAGAAAAAGGTAAAACAAATAAAAAGAAATAAATTATGGGATAAGGTAATTAAAAGGTAACTGACGACAAAAACAGTCGTCCAGATCATGGACGGATACGAACCAATGGCCCATGAAATACTAGTCCGGCACTTTACCATTGGAACTACAAGACCCAGCTACTAACCACGTTATTACTTAGCTGTAATCCCCACACGTTTTGATCACAAGATGACCTCACAGCTCGAGGACAATTTGAAGAAGGGGTGTACTATGCAGCCGTTCCGTCCTAGCTTGGGATTCTTCAACAATAAAATATGGCGAGCTCGTAGACCGGGACTCTATCCGACGGACCATGAATTTCAACTTCCGCAAACTGGCGATATACATAAAGCTCAACCGATGGTCAGAGTCACAGACGAGTAACTGTTCTCATGTCTGATTTGGAGGACACTGCCATTATAAATCACAGTTAGTTAGTTAGTTAGTTAGTTAGTTAGTTAGTTAGTTAGTTAGTTAGTTAGTTAGTTGTTAGTTAGTTAGTTAGTTAGTTAGTTAGTTAGTTAGTTAGTTAGTTAGTTAGTTAGTTAGTTAGTTAGTTAGTTAGTTAGTTAGTTAGTTAGTTAGTTAGTTAGTTAGTTAGTTAGTTAGTTAGTTAGTTAGTTAGTTAGTTAGTTAGTTAGTTAGTTAGTTAGTTAGTTAGTTAGTTAGTTAGTTAGTTAGTTAGTTAGTTAGTTAGTTAGTTAGTTAGTTAGTTAGTTAGTTAGTTAGTTAGTTAGTTAGTTAGTTAGTTAGTTAGTTAGTTAGTTAGTTAGTTAGTTAGTTAGTTAGTTAGTTAGTTAGTTAGTTAGTTAGTTAGTTAGTTAGTTAGTTAGTTAGTTAGTTAGTTAGTTAGTTAGTTAGTTAGTTAGTTAGTTAGTTAGTTAGTTAGTTAGTTAGTTAGTTAGTTAGTTAGTTAGTTAGTTAGTTAGTTAGTTAGTTAGTTAGTTAGTTAGTTAGTTAGTTAGTTAGTTAGTTAGTTAGTTAGTTAGTTAGTTAGTTAGTTAGTTAGTTAGTTAGTTAGTTAGTTAGTTAGTTAGTTAGTTAGTTAGTTAGTTAGTTAGTTAGTTAGTTAGTTAGTTAGTTAGTTAGTTAGTTAGTTAGTTAGTTAGTTAGTTAGTTAGTTAGTTAGTTAGTTAGTTAGTTAGTTAGTTAGTTAGTTAGTTAGTTAGTTAGTTAGTTAGTTAGTTAGTTAGTTAGTTAGTTAGTTAGTTAGTTAGTTAGTTAGTTAGTTAGTTAGTTAGTTAGTTAGTTAGTTAGTTAGTTAGTTAGTTAGTTAGTTAGTTAGTTAGTTAGTTAGTTAGTTAGTTAGTTAGTTAGTTAGTTAGTTAGTTAGTTAGTTAGTTAGTTAGTTAGTTAGTTAGTTAGTTAGTTAGTTAGTTAGTTAGTTAGTTAGTTAGTTAGTTAGTTAGTTAGTTAGTTAGTTAGTTAGTTAGTTAGTTAGTTAGTTAGTTAGTTAGTTAGTTGGTTAGTTGGTTAGTTGGTTAGTTGGTTAGTTAGTTAGTTAGTTAGTTAGTTAGTTAGTTAGTTAGTTAGTTAGTTAGTTAGTTAGTTAGTTAGTTAGTTAGTTAGTTAGTTAGTTAGTTAGTTAGTTAGTTAGTTAGTTAGTTAGTTAGTTAGTTAGTTAGTTAGTTAGTTAGTTAGTTAGTTAGTTAGTTAGTTAGTTAGTTAGTTAGTTAGTTAGTTAGTTAGTTAGTTAGTTAGTTAGTTAGTTAGTTAGTTAGTTAGTTAGTTAGTTAGTTAGTTAGTTAGTTAGTTAGTTAGTTAGTTAGTTAGTTAGTTAGTTAGTTAGTTAGTTAGTTAGTTAGTTAGTTAGTTAGTTAGTTAGTTAGTTAGTTAGTTAGTTAGTTAGTTAGTTAGTTAGTTAGTTAGTTAGTTAGTTAGTTAGTTAGTTAGTTAGTTAGTTAGTTAGTTAGTTAGTTAGTTAGTTAGTTAGTTAGTTAGTTAGTTAGTTAGTTAGTTAGTTAGTTAGTTAGTTAGTTAGTTAGTTAGTTAGTTAGTTAGTTAGTTAGTTAGTTAGTTAGTTAGTTAGTTAGTTAGTTAGTTAGTTAGTTAGTTAGTTAGTTAGTTAGTTAGTTAGTTAGTTAGTTAGTTAGTTAGTTAGTTAGTTAGTTAGTTAGTTAGTTAGTTAGTTAGTTAGTTAGTTAGTTAGTTAGTTAGTTAGTTAGTTAGTTAGTTAGTTAGTTAGTTAGTTAGTTAGTTAGTTAGTTAGTTAGTTAGTTAGTTAGTTAGTTAGTTAGTTAGTTAGTTAGTTAGTTAGTTAGTTAGTTAGTTAGTTAGTTAGTTAGTTAGTTAGTTAGTTAGTTAGTTAGTTAGTTAGTTAGTTAGTTAGTTAGTTAGTTAGTTAGTTAGTTAGTTAGTTAGTTAGTTAGTTAGTTAGTTAGTTAGTTAGTTAGTTAGTTAGTTAGTTAGTTAGTTAGTTAGTTAGTTAGTTAGTTAGTTAGTTAGTTAGTTAGTTAGTTAGTTAGTTAGTTAGTTAGTTAGTTAGTTAGTTAGTTAGTTAGTTAGTTAGTTAGTTAGTTAGTTAGTTAGTTAGTTAGTTAGTTAGTTAGTTAGTTAGTTAGTTAGTTAGTTAGTTAGTTAGTTAGTTAGTTAGTTAGTTAGTTAGTTAGTTAGTTAGTTAGTTAGTTAGTTAGTTAGTTAGTTAGTTAGTTAGTTAGTTAGTTAGTTAGTTAGTTAGTTAGTTAGTTAGTTAGTTAGTTAGTTAGTTATTTAGTTAGTTAGGGACAGTTAGTCAGTGACGCAGAAGCAGAATAATGGTCATATTAATATCATGATAAGAAACAAGGATACGCACCGATTCCACGTGATGTAATCTGAGAATTATTATGATTATCATTAGTAATTGTAACCTTCAAACTGTCCAAAATAATGCTATCTAAGAGCCGACATACTCATGTTTGTGCTGGCACAAAAGAAATTACATCCTTACATACATACACATGCCTACAATATCTCTGAGAACATGCACAACAGCTTCTGAGTAAACAGTGATAAGCAGGTAATAATAATAATAATAATAGTGATAATAATAATAATGGCACAAAGTTATTTTGTTATTTATAAAAATATAAAAATGGCATTATACTTGGCTGGCGAAACAAACACACTAAACAAAGTAGCCACCGTCATGCATAACTAACGCGTGTACCTACACCAACCAAACCACCAGTGGTTCTCACTTTCAAGTCATTATAATTATCATCACGATGTTGTACAAGAATTCTGCATGAAGTTGTATTTTTCACGAAAGAGAGAGAGAGAGGAGTACAAATATTGTTAAGTGAATTAGTCATTAACCGGGTTAAAACAACAAGACGATAAGACAAGCAAAAAGACCTAAAGACGACTAGTATAAGCGAAAGTGGTAGCGAAATAGCTAGACGAAGAAATAGAAATTCAAAATATTGGGTGTCTCATCTTTTTAACTTGACAATTTTGACATTTTCTTGACACTTTAGCACAGAGAGAGAAATTTATTTTAAAAAATATTAAATTACAAAACAGGCGCATAGCCAAACATGTAAATTTACATATGCATTAATACATAACACACCCTTTCTGTCCAAATATGGAATAAATTCAAATATTATATAGACAAGTGTAGTTATGTACCTGGATGAAGCCGCATCAAGTTTGAACATGTTGGACCTTTTCTTAGCGTATTATTCACTGAATAAGTACATGTTAATGCTCTTTCAGTGACTTCATCATTTTTCCTCTGTGACTAACTTTGTCGTTAGATTAGATTATTAAATATGTTGGACGTTTTATTAGGTCATTTATTCAAAATAAACAAAATGTTATAATAATAAATGGTATGGTACGCCTGAGGTTGAGTAGACTTCAGTATTTCTCTCGAAATACTCTCATCACACTTTCATCATATCTAACAGATAAGTCCTATTGACCACTTTCACGCGGCCTTGGGGATGTTCCTTACAAAAGTGAAAGAGCAAATGAAGACATCTGGCGCTTACAATAGGACTGGTAGATGTGCCAGTCTATCTACGAGAGCTGGGAAACCTTGATTCCACACTTATGATGTAAGTGGGCTACAGAATTCGGAAGGATTGAATTTAGTATGAACCTGTTTCAGTCAACTGGAAACCATGAGAATGTAGCTGGTGATGCTGCTCCACTGACTTGTGAATTAGAATTCAAGTCAAAGGATATGTGGTTAGCCTCATAAGAGAACTATCTGCTTCAATCAGCACATCAGAGAAGTATCCCAGCCCTCGTGTAAACTGTGATACATCAGTTTGTGTGAAGCATTTCATGGTGCCCATAATATACCAAGTTTCTGTTTTTAAAAATAATAAAAAGGAATTTAACTATATTCCATGGAGTAGCTGAAATTCCGTCAGAAGATCTTAATTGGTTTGAATGCGACAAAGAGGCAGCTGGACAGATTGACCGACTGACTTATGGTTCTCTAGTACGAGCTGATACCACAGTTAAATAGTTAATGGAAGCCAATAAAGCACTAGACACTGTTTAGTCCTAGTTTGAGATTCAGGTGGTCACCATATATCTATCATTTACTCAATAGTGTGGAATCTGTTGACGCATGAATTCGAATGTTGTTCATTTCTTGGTATCAGCCTGTGTCATCGGCGAGTATCCGCTCCCCAAACCCAGTTGGTGGACCCTATTTGGAGTCATGGGTTTGCTGTTGAAACAGCTGTCCAACTGCCACTTCCTTCGAGATTGCTGATATACCTTATTGAGAAGTGCTAATAAGCACATTAATCCAGGTCCAATGTCTTCCTGTCATTTGTCTGGCACCATTTCGAAATGCACCAAGGTGGTGACGTACCAGGTTTGGTTATCATATTTCAAACTGAATTCAGTTAATAAGTCAGTATCAGAACTAAGTACTAGATACATGACACTGATGTCATAACCTATTGATTATAGTCTAAAAAGTTAGATATCTCTCCTTCGTCCCTTAATTATTTCATATAAGTTAA